TAACTCTTTGTCTGTTCTTTCGTAGTGTTTCCCTTCTTTCTTGTTTCTCTTTTTTTTCCCGCTTTGTTTTTCTTCTTCTTGTTTTTTTTTTCACACTTTCTTCTTTCTTTTCTATTTCCTCTTTCTTTTCTGTTTCTACTTGTCTTTCCCCTCGTTCTTTTTCTTTTACGTTTCCTTTTTTCATTTTATCTTTGTCTTCTTAACTTAAATTCCTCTTTTCTTTTATTCTGCTCTTTTTCCTTCTTTTTTTACGGCTATAGGATACAGTAAGTGTATCTCAATATATATCTCATATCTCAATATGTCTCAATATATGTCTCATATCTCAATATAAATCTCATATCTCAATTTTTATCTCAATATATATCTCATATCTCAATATCTATCTCATATCTCAATTTCTATCTCAATATATATCTCATATCTCAATTTCTATCTCATATCTCAATTTCTATATCAATATATATCTCATATCTCAATATCTCTCATATCTCAATTTCTATCTCAATATCCGTCTCATATCTCAATATCACTCATTTGCTGAGTGACAAACGACTCAAGATCTTAATGACAAATAATTCGACGGCGGCTGCATCTTATCATGTGGCATTATCATGTTCATTATCCGTGCCAGGAGCTTATCTGCTAAATGAATAGATGAATAGATATGGATAGCTAGGTAGATAAATATATAAATGAATGATTGAACGAATGGATGAATAAATTAATAGATACATAGATAAACAAACAAGTAAATAAACAAATACAGAAATAGATAAATTAATAGATAAATAAATATAGATAAAGAAGCAAGCATATCTATAAATAGAAAAAATAAAAGAATGAAGAATGAACAGATAAAAAATAAATAAACACATAAGTAAATAAGCAAACATAAAAAAAAAACAATAAATAAATTACGAAACAAATAAAAATATAAATCCCAAGAAAATGGACTTGATCTTTCACTCAAACACCGGGATCACTTTTTATTTTTTTTATCTTTTTTTATTATTATTATTATTATTATTTTAGATTTCTCAGGTATACTCCTGTCACGGGTTATGCCCTAGACTACCCGTAGGTGGATGGGATTTATGCGGGCACAGCTTGGTGCTACTACTTCTACTGGAGAAAGTGGAGAAAGGCATCAGGTGGCGTCACATTGCCGGAAGATCGGCTCGGAAGACTTGAGAGGAAGGGTTAAACTTGGCGAGACTTTGCACGTTGCCATCCAAATGCAATCCAACAAGGAAAGTGGGCAAAAAGTACACAAAAGACGAGGCAACATGCAACATCGTCCTTTAAAAACACAACACCAGCGGGACAACTCATAACATTTGAATTTACCTACATAATCTTGTCGGGAAAGGAAAAAGCTCCACAAGAGTTTAAACAAGACTTACATACCTACATACCCGACCTACACCATCTTGAGGGGAAGGAAAACTCGCCAACATACTCGTCCAACCGCATAGTACACCAGGCCTCCTTTGCATACCTCCTACAAAGGACGACAAAGCCTTTATGGATAAACTTTGACATGGAAATCGCAGAGAAGAAGCCAGCGAAGTACCTCGCATACCAAAATTAGAGTCATCTGAGTCAGATCCACAGCGCCACTTGTCAGAGAATTTGGATTCGCAGAAGTCGCTGAATGGAGGAGGAGGAGGAGGAGGAAGATAATTTGTTATTGTTCTTCTCCCTAGAAATCGTTCTTCCTGTTCTTTGCCATTCTCCTCCTCTTTATCATCCTTTTCGTTATCTTTCTCTTCTTCCTCGTCCTCGTCTTTTTCTTGTTTCTTTAGTGGTACATTTTCTTGCTCTTGTTCTTGTTGTTTTTCTGACTATTTTTCTTGTGATTTTATGATTTTTTTTTTTACTTATCGTTCTTCTTCTTTTTGTTATATTTTTCTTGATATTTGTTATTATTATATTTCTATTTTTTTTTTATGAATTTTTCTTTGTTTTCTTGTTTATCTATTTAATTTTTCTTGTTTTTTTTCTTATTATTTTATATCTTAATTTTCTTGTTCGTGCTCTTAATATTTTTCTTGTCTATCTTATTATTTTTCTTGTTCTTTTTCTTATTATTTTTCTTCTTAATTTTCTCTTTCTCATTCTATTTTTCTCTTGTGTGCTTCCTCCTTCTCCCCCTTACATCCCTCCTCCTCCTCCTCCTCCTCTTCTCCTCTCCTACCTTCATTCTCTTCATTTGCTTCCTTTCACTTCCTCTCCTCACCTCCTTCCTCACTTCCTTTATCACCCTCTCACGCTATTTCGAACTGCAATCCGGAAAATCCAAATCCATCGGGAATATGATTTATATCCTCTTGTCTAATTCTTTCTATCCGTTTTAAAACTCCTTCGTTCTACATTGGGATGGATATCCGGAGAGAGGAGAGAGAGGAGAGAGAGAGAGAGAGAGAGAGAAAGGGAGAGAGAAGGGAGGAGAGGAGAGGGGAGAGAGAGAGGGAGAGAGGAGAGAGAGCGAGAGAGA